TCAAAAGCTTCCGCTGTCCAGCTCAAAACCACGTCGCGCCGAACCTGATGTGTTGTCGAAGAGCTTGCTGCAGACTGGAACGACCTGCTCCGACGGTAACAACCTCCACGGCAGCTCAAGCTCGTGCTCATCTGAGAGGAGACAAGGTGGTTGGGATGAAGGCAGGAGGAGGAGCGTGTTGGGGGTGGTTCAATGAGATCATGTGTGTATGTGTGTGTGCGTGTGTGTGCGTATGTGTGTATGTGTGTGTATGTGTGAGTGTGTGAGAGTGGGTGTGAGAGTGGGTGTTGACAGGGCCTCTCATGTGCACGGGATGCTCAATGTCGCCACCAGCAAGTTGGAGCCATGAACGTGTCGAACGCAAGCTGCGAGTCGCAGTTGTGTTCCATTTTCTTAGCATCATGTCACAACACAACCAAGTGTACACAGAACAGAACACGCGCGCGTGCGCACCGTAGAAGCGGACGAACTGAGCGAGGTACTGCGAGAGCTCGTCAACAGTGTCGGCAGAAAGGTGTTCGCGGATGAGCACGGCGGTACTGTTGAGAAATCCTTCAAACTGGTGTATCTCAAGCAGCCATGTTGCTTGATCCAGGACCGCAACGCTAAGACTGGCACACTCCGCGTGCTGCGAGGATGGCACCGCCGTTGTCTGAAGCACGCCACCCGAAGCGGCCACACCAACCCCACCCAATGCCACGAGCGTGACGAGGAGACGAACAACGACGACCCCTGTCGCCGCTGCCGCCGTGCTCATCCTCATTCGACCAACCCCAACAACCAACCACGGCAGCCAACAAACCAAGCGCGATCACAAGCAAGGGCGTCACAGGAAGGCTGGCAGGACAAGCGTGGTGGGGCGCGGCAAGCGACGGCGGAAATGCACAAAGACAACATCACAAAAAGTAGCAAGAATTTGCGACACGACACACGATGGTGTTGGTTGGTGGTTGAGTCCATTTTCCACACACGCGCGCCCACCCCCACAGATACAAAGACCACGCCATAGAACACGCCACACCACCTTGTTCCTCTCTCTCTCCTGTCAATCTTCCAGTCGGTCAGCCAAACCAACCAACAGCCATGTCTCGCGGACTTGCCAAGCAACAGGCCAAGGAGAAGGCCGCCAAGAAGAACCAGAAGCTGAAGGGCAGCTCCAAGCACGACCACAAGGCCGCGCGCGCCGCTCAGCTCAAGCTCGTCTGCAGCGTGTGCAGGGTGTGTTTTGAAGTTTGTTGTGTTGTGTTGTGTTGTGTTGTGTTGTGTTGTGTTTGTGTCGTGTTTGTGTCGTGTTGTGTTGTGTTTGTGTCGTGTTGTGTTGTGTTTGTGTCGTGTTGTGTTGTGTCGTGTCGTGTTTGTGTTGTGTTTGTGTCGTGTTTGTTGTGTTTGTGTTGTGTTGTGTTGTGTGTACTCGTCGTAGTTGAGCTCACCTTCGACACCGCCGCGCTCTTACCCAATCCTCTGTTTGCTCTCCACACTTTTGTTCTGTCGTTCTTGCTCTCTGTCCTCCGACAGGCACCCATGTCTGACAAGAGCGTGTACAAGTCTCACTTCCAGGCCAAGCACCCCAAGGCACCCACGCCTCCCGAGTTGCAATGAACGCAGGCCTCCCTTACATCAACCGGCACCGACTCTCCGTGAGTGGCATGCACTGGCGCGAGCCGAGCGAAAACCAGGGGGGGGGGGGAGAGGAGAGGGTGTGTGCGCGTGTGTGTGTGTCTGTCTGTCTGTGCGTGTGTGTGTGTGGGGGGGGGGTTACGTACGTGCAGTCTCCACAATTTAACCAGGATTTACGTGCAGTGCGGTGCGGTTGCCAGCTGATTCACTCACTCCCTTGTCCCACGCACTCACTGTTAATTGCTACGCGACAGGCGGGCTCAAGCACAACTCCGCAAGGAAGCACGCAGTCATATGCGGTGGTGATGGTGCTCTCTCGTGTCAGTACCTTTGTCGTGTCGCGTCGTCACTTCCCCCTCTTTCTGGTGTCTGCGTTTTTCATCGCTGACCCCCACCATGCATGCCTGCTATTGTTTCCTTCCTCCCTTTTCTTGTCTCATTTGTTTGAATCGATTTGATTGCCTGACCTTACATGGTGTGTTCAATGTGCTGCGTCGTTGGAAATGTTGTCACATCATATCAACTTACGTCGTGCTCTGCTACGTTGCCACACCCATCAGTTCCGTGTGTTGACTTCTCTTCAATTGCATCACTTGCTTGCTGACGCGATGTGCGCGTGCATGTGCATGTGTATGAGTTGACATGATTACAGAGTTTAGCACACAATCATCGACATGAGTATTCCGTTTGTGGACAGTTGAGCATGTGCACAGCCTTGTAGTTGTGTGTGTGTGTATGTGTATGTGTGTGTGTGAATGTGTGTGTGCGTGCGTGCGCGTGTGTATGCACGGGTGCTACGGGTGAGCGGCGGTGAAGTTAAGGCGGAGGAGCAGGTGTTCGAGTGCAACGTCGTCCAACCGCTTGGCCAGTTTGCGCACCACTGTCATTATGGGAAGGCAACGGGTGGTGATGTGATGTATGTGATGTGATGTGATGTGATGTGGTGAGCACATGGTGGAGAACGAAGGTGAGGAGTGATGAGCGGTGTTGGACACGAACATGGTCGCCCCGGTGCACACACACACACATGCACACACATGCACACACGCACATACACTCGTTTTACATCATTCTTACCTGCCGTGAGGAGCTTTGAGCACCCGCGAAACGAGTCGTAGTGTCGCGCCGTCGCCTTCATCACTGCATCCGACGCCTCGTTGCACCGGGCAAGCTGGAGGTGTGTCATGGTGTCATGGTGTCATGGGGGGTTGGTGTTGGTGAGAACTGAGAGAACATTGCACGACAGGCGACTTATTTTCCCGATAAGCGGGAGGGGGGGGGCAAATTGGAACGGATTCACAACAGCTCCAAATCACCACCGCACCTGCTCATCACCATCATCATCAGCACCATCATCATCATCACCTCGTTCCTGAACTGGAGAGCAACAGCGAGCGCCTTTCGAAACGCCATCAGCACCGGCTTCGCCCGGTCGTGAAGGAACACCCTGTTGTTGTTGCAGCAGCGGTAATGGGCCGTTGGCAGGAGGGAGGGGAGTGTAAGTGAGATGAGGGTGAAGTCGGGCGGGCACACACACACACACACACACACACACACACACACACACACACACACACACACACACACACACACACACACACACACACACACACACACACACACAAACAAACATGCACACTCCGTGTCTACGCACTGCTTCTTCAGGTGGGCGGCGTTTGCGGCGATGGTCTTAATGACGTGCGGGTACGAATGACATTCGCGCGTCAAATCCTCCAGAAACGGCGCCCAGATCACCTGCGTCACCTGTTGAGGAGTGGTTGTGATGATGATGATGATGATGATGATGATGATGATGATGATGATGATGATGATTCATGGTGGTGGTGATGATGATGATGATTCATGGTGGTGGTGGTGATGATGATGATGATGATGATGATGATGATGGTGGTGGTGGTGATGACACTTGTAGTGATGTGGCGAGGTGGTATTCGTCCAACTCAAGATTGTTTTCTGTCACCTGATGGAGGAGATACGAGTGGAAAGCGCTGAAGAAGTGGTGTATGTCGTGACGACGCTGCTCCAGCTGTGGCACGGCGATGACAATGAAGATGGCGATGGTGGTGGGGTTGGTGCGGGTTGGTGCGGGTGGGGGTTGCATGAGTGTGGTGTTATGAACGATCGGCGAAGCTCGGGAGTTACATCACTGCGCCATCAATGCAGCGAGCAAGAGTGCGCATAACTCATGTCACAAGCACAAACCAACAATATCATCATCTCCTCAACCAACTGCATGCATCGCACCAACCACTCTGAGATTCCGCAGTTCAGACTTGAGCTTCGTGCGGCGCCAGAGAACCTGACGTGTATTGACCAATACAGAACGCGGTGGTGGTGATGGTGGTGATGGTGGTGATGATGATGGTGGTGGTGGTGGCGAGAGCAGGGTTAACGAACCACGCCGTTTGCACGCGATGCTCTGATAACAGGTGCACACACGCACGCCACCCCATACACGCACACCACGACTACCTGAAAAGCATCAACAGCTCACCTTCATGTCCAGCCATAACGACTCCAGCAGCGCTTTGACGCACGACACCTCCAACAGAAACGCCCCAACCTGTAAACACACACACGCACACATGGGGGTGAGAAAACACGCCAGCCTTGCCGACAATAAGTATCACACACACACACACACACACACACACACACACACACACACACACACACACACACACACACACACGAGCCGAACCTGGTGGTATGTGTCCATGATGTGTGGTGGGAGGAACACGTCCGTAGGCCACTGCACATCAAAGCACACGTGCACATCCACAACAACAAACGCATCGCCACCACTGCCACCGGCGCTGCTGCTGCTGGCGTGGTGGTGGTGGTGGTGGTGGATGATGCGTGATGGCCGCAGCACAAGCCGATCTGCAAAGGGAAGCGCATTGCGCTGAGGGGAGAGGGGAAGCGGATGGGTGTGAGTATTGTTTTGTTGACGTGTGTGTGGGTGCGAGCGAGCGTTGTGCCAGGCATATGCAAGGTAGATGACATGACTGGTGTTGAGGGCGAATGCTGATTCACACAAGTGCTGGTACTTGTGAACAAACACATGAAGAACACAACACGCAATCAAGACACAACACGCAATCAACGCACGTCACACACACACATACACACACACACAAGCACACCTCGGAGACACCGTCCATGAGCGCGCGGTTCATGACTTCAACGGCGGCGACAGCAGACCTCCGCCCACCGCCGTACGCGCGTGTCAGCTGCGCCACCAGGCTCCGGCTAAACCCGCCGTGTCCAAGGAGTACGCACTTTCCCAATGTGGAAAGCTGGTCAAAGAGACGCAGCTCACGCACGAGGTACTGATGCGCGCACGTGGCCACGAGCCGGGCGTGCGCCGCCAGCGGTGCAATCACACACGTGTCAAACGCGTGGCCGTTGAACACCGCCTCATGCTCGCCGCTATCACCAGTGCCCATACCGATGCGCAGAGCATCAGCATTGGCCTCACGTGTGCTTGATGATGACGACGCTGATGATGATGGCGTGAGTGTGCCCTGAATGTTCGTGCTGCTGTCGCCTGCCGTGTTCTCGGTGCCACCAACGCCGATGCTGCTGCTGTCTCGCTCTTGCTCTGCAGTTGCTGTTGGCATTGGTGTTGGTGTTGGCAGGGTGGATGCAGGGTCCGTCTGCACCTTGGCAGTGAATGCCTCAAACCCCATTTGAAACGCGTCCACCACCGCCGCCTCGTCATCAATAACGTCGTCGTCTCCGGGTCCATAGTCGTCTTTCTCATCTGCAAAGTTGTGCTGCTCCACCTGCAGCGCCTCCTCCTCTTCCTCCTCTGCTTCAGGCCCGTGGTGAGTGCTGCTGGTACGGGCGTACAGGTCATCGCCGTTGGCAATGCCATCACGATCATCAGTACCACCATCATTCTCATCACAATCACCAACATCTTCTCCGCTCACAGTTGCAGTCACACTGTGTTCAGTTGAGCGAGCAAGGTCACTGACATGCATGCCATCCTGCTGCTGCTGTTCCTGCTGCTGTGGCTGTTGTTGTTGTTGTTGTTGTTGTTGTTGTTGTTGTTGTTGTTGTTGTTGTTGTTGTTGTTGTTGATGTTGTTGTTGTGGCTGTTGCTGTCGTTGTTGTTGTGGCTCGTTCACAGCATCCCCAGTGCCAGCACCAGCAACACCCCCAACATCACCCTGTCCGCCTCCGCTGTGGTTTTGCACGTGACGCACACGACCAACCACGACACCATCGCCAACACCACGACCACCACCATTGGCGTGGAGGTGTGTGACGTGCCGTGTTCGCTCGCCATGAGTGTCGTCATCGCCACGCATGGCGCGCGTGTGGTGGACGTGGTTTCCAGCGGACATGTGATCAGCGCTGCTGTCATCGAAGGTGCTGTCGCTTCGAGCACCACGAGCACTGCCATCAACTTCACCCTCCGTCTCCTCCAATGCTTCCTGTGCAATGACCACACGATCACCACCACCACCACCACCACCATCATCATCATCATCATCATCATCATCATCATCATTGGCACCATCATCATTGGCACCACCACCACCACCACTGCCAGCGCCATCTAGCGTGTCAAGTCTGGCGAGGATGGGTGCAGCGCCTGCTGTGTTGCGCCGCCACCGCCGCCGCGCACTCATTGGCCGACGAGAGGCTGAAGATGCGACCTGCGCTGCTGGTGATGACGGCTCAATCTCCCGTTGCCGCTGTTGCATGGGCGAGAGTGACTGTGCCTGTGTCGTTGCGGCTGCTGTTGGCGGTGCTGGTGCTGGTGCTGGTGACGATGGTGCTGATGGCGCGACTTGGAGATGCGGGTGCACCACATCTGCACCATCCCGTCGCCCACCGCCGCCACCACCATCATCACTATGAATGGCTGCGTGCCAGTCGACGTCGTGTGCGAGGGCCGTCCGCAGCGCTTCCCGCCGCTCAATTCGCCGGTTGCGCCACTCGAGCCGACGCTGCAGTCACCACGACACGCAATGGGGTGCGATGTGATGGGACATGGGAACGTGGGGAGTGTGTTGCGTGTGTGTTGCGTGTGTGTGAGTGTGCGTGTGTGTTTGTGTGCGTGAGTCTGCGCGGGTCGGTACACATCAACACGCAGAGACGCCGAACACATTCACAGTCACATTTCAAACACACACCTTCTGTTTGTTGAGGTTGGCTGTGAGCTGTGCGTACTTGCGCCTGAGCTGCATCTCTGCCTCGGCCACGCGTTGCGCGCGCTCGTCGCGTATCCGCTGCTGCTGCTCTTCCTCCTCCATCGCAGTGGTGGCGGCGGCCGCCACTGCATCGGCATGTACGGCACGGTCCTGATGGCATGATGGAGGGATGGAAGATGTGGATGGACAGGGGTGATGGTTGTTGTTGTTGTTGTTGTTGTTGTTGTTGTTGTTGTTGTTGTTGTTGGTGTTGTTGGTGTTGTTGGTGTGTCGCAGAAGTTAATGGGAAAGATGATGTGACCAGCATCAGCTCATTTTGAGGGACACGTCCAATACAATCGAACACTCATGCACGCGCACACTCGCACACGCGCTAGCCACGAAACCAAACATGTAATCACAATGATACGCCCTCTTTCCCCGTTCTCCTGCAACTACACAAACACGGTAGCATTACCTCCAGCTGCTGTCTCCAGAGCCGCTGTTTGCGCTCGCGTCGCTCCTCCTCTGCAGCGCGCGCTGCGTCGTCTGCCGCCTGCACCTGTTGTCGCATCACCCGCGCACGTGCAAGCAGCACAAGGGTTCGCTGCTTCTCTTGCTCAAGCAGTGCCTGGGCACGCCTGATGGTGGTGTATGTGTGTGTGTGTATGTGTGTGTGTGGTATGTGTGTGTGTGGCATGTGTGTGTGTGTGTGGTATGTGTGTATTTGTGTGGTATGTGTGTGTGTGTGTGGCATGTGTGTGTGGTATGTGTGTGTGTGGCATGTGTATGCGTATGTGTGTACATGTGTGTGTGTGTATTTAGCGCTGTGTGAGCAAAGAGGGCGCTTTCAATCGGCTACCGCCTTCACAAAGCACAGCACCATCTCACCCCTCCTCCCAACATGGCAGGTCGTGCCACCTTGCGGTATCAGCCTGCAGCGCATCTGCCAGCCGCTGCCTCAGATTCGCTTGCTCCGACACAAGCCGGCGCAGGTTCTAGCGATGGTGGTGGTGGGCATGGTCATTGGCGGTGGTGATGGATGGTGATGCAGCAGCTTACGTGACGAGGGTGGTTGCTGGTGGCTGTGAAGCAAGTAGCTGCAACCCGCAGAACAGGACAGGACGTCGGGCAACAGAGCAACCATCAACAATCAGCCACCAGCCACAACCACGCCATCGTACCCCTTCCCCCTCCCTTCCGACCCTACCACCTCCGCTTTGGCTGACCGTGTGGTGCGAGGTGAAGACAACGGTGGGCGGGGCGGCGCTGAAACGCGAGAGGAAGAAGTGCGGGGAACACGTGCGCAGCAGCACCAGCGTGCGAGCGGAGCCAACAGCATCCGTGATCACGTCGCCGAAGATGGCGCGTGTGGATGAAGTGTTGCCGAAGCCAACCGCGTCCCAGAACGACTCGTTTCGCTCCAGCAGTAGCTGGTTGGGGGGTGAGGTGGGATTGGGGGTTTTGTGTGTGTGTGTGTGTGTGTGTGTGTGTGTGTGTGTGTGTGTGTGTGTGTGTGTGTGTGTGTGTGTGTGTGTGTGTGTGGGACGGTGAATGTGCATCCCAACAGCCATTCTCTCACAACCACCAACACCAACAACACCACCGCGCCATGCCATCGCCACCACATGACCCGTAACCCGCTCGTGCCACCGACCTCTTGATCCACAGTGATGCCAAGCTGCCGCAGGCTGCGCGTGTATGTCCCCGTGTATGCAAACATGCACAGCGGCGCCAGCAGCGAGTTCAGGCTCCTCTATCGTCGCACACACGCACGCACGCACGTACATGAGCACATCTGCGTGAGTACAAGCACAGTCGTGAACAACCACACCCTTTACACGCACGCACACACGCACATTCACATCGATATTGCATTGCTGTGCACTCAATGAATTTCAACACCATCGCTTGACAAGGCACGGAGCGAGCAAGTGCAGCACCATCGCGCACCTGGTACAACGCTGATGCAATCATGCGGAGGTCGGGGCGGCTTGCCTGCAGGCACTGTTCCCTCAGCATCACCAGCGAGCGCTGTACACTGCGCATGCCCATGTGCGCGTACGGTGATGTGGCGTGGAGGTGACCCTCATGCAGGGCAGCGCACAGCGGCAGGTGCGTGACGACGCGTGCCAGGAAGGCGAGCTGCTGGTGTGTTCGCCGCAGCCGGAAGCGGAACGCAAGCAGGCGTGACGATGTCGATGATGATGAAGATGATGACGATGATGATGAGGCCTGAAGAGCAGTGTGCACCTGTTTGTTTGGACACAATGAGAGGGTGAGCGTGTGTGTGTGTGTGTGTGTGTGTGTGTGTGTGTGTGTGTGTGTGTGTGTGTGTGTGTGTGTGTGTGTGTGTGTGTGTGTGTGTGTGTGTGTGTGAGTGGTTGTTTGTGTGGGGAGGGTCTCGCCCATATGCGCGACACTGTGCCCGCACAACATTGTGGGTGAGGACGAAATGCAACACTTGTCGTTCTTCGAGCACAAACACACATCACATCACCACCAGCACCACCAGCACCAGCACCAGCACCAGCACCACCACAAATGCGCCACCGACCGCGTGTGCGTGGTACTGCAGGAATACGGCAACAACATCGGCTACGACAGCGACGACAGACGGCGGGTGGGGGTGGGACCTGGCCAGCGCTCGTGCCGCATCCACAACCGCCTGGTGGTGTGTGCCCAGCATCATGATGATGTGAGTTGCAGGAACAGCGGATAAGAGAGAGGGGAAGGGAGGGGTGTTGGGGAGGGTGTGGGTGTCAATCGTCTGTTTTGTTCCTCAGGTATGTCACACATGCACAAGAGACGCAACCAACTACCTCACAAACAAACAAACAAACAAACAAACAAACAAAACAAACAAACAAACAAAACAAACAAACAAACAAAACAAGCAAAACCAGACAGTCACCTGCAGCTCGTGCACGTGTCTGGCGGGGAGAACGAAAGCGCGGAGGAGCGAGGGCGAGAGGGTGGGCCGCCACCGCACGCGCTGTGAAACTCGCAGGAACCCCGTGCTTGCGTCACGCGTAAACGTCGAGGATGCAACGTCGACCAACGCGTGCGCAACATCAAGCAGCACCGCGTCCAACTGACCACCGCCGCCGCCGCCGCCACCACCAGCAGCAGCAGCGCTCTGCTGCTGTCTTGCTCGCAAACTTCGCACGGCATCAGCAGCTGTTGGGGCTGCAGCACGTGGTGGTGGTGATGAGAGGGATGGTGATACAGACAGTGGTGGCGATGATAGCGATGAGAACAGCTGCTGCTCCTGCTGCTGGTGATGCTCACTGATCACGGGCACATCTTGTGACAGCAGCAGCGGAAACAAGCCACTGCCAGCACCGGCATCGTTGCTCATGGGCCCACCACCAACACGTTCCTCATTGCTGTTGAACCCAAAGAGACGGCTGTGCATAGCTGGTGGTTCATCAAACAGCCACCCGCCCAACCCGCACTGCTGCTGCTGCTGCTGCTGCTGCTGCTGTTGCTGTTGCTGATGAGTGATTGAGCCCACATTGCTTGGCTCCGCTTCTAGAGACAGCGACATCCCATGGGTACCACCGCCGTGAGCAGTGTCGCGTGGGTGTGTGAGGAGAAAGCCTGGCTCAATCAAGTGTGGCGATGTGATGTTCGCTGGGTCAAAGCCAAGCAGGCCCTGCGATCGCGGGTGGAAGGTGGGCTGGTGCAACAATTCTGGCGCATCCAATATGGGGAGAGGTGGCAGATGCACCCCGCTGTCGTTCGCATCGACAGTGTGGTGCTGTGGTGGTGTTTGGAGACGCGCCAACAGCAGCAGCACCGGCTGCAATGCATCTGGCACCACGCGCTCCACAACATCTGTCGTGCGTTGGTGGTGAGGGGGCGTGGGAATGGTTAGTTGACAAAGTATGCGTCCTTTCTCAGGTTATTCCCGTGTGAGCTGAGGATTTTGTTGGACGCGGTGTCTCTTGTGCAAAGCGAGTGACCCAAATCCTTGTGTGACGCACGCATAGGGGTCACACACACACACACACACACACACACACACACACACACACACACACACACACATACACACGCAGTCACACACACACACACACACACACACACACACACACATCCGCCCAACACAAAGCAACCACGACTACATTCCCTCCCCCCCCCCCACACACGCACACACCTCTGTGTTGGTCAAGCCAGGCAGCGAGCTGTTGTTGCTGGTCCCTGTAAGCGTCGTCATCGGCGTTGGCCCTGTGCAAGTCAATTCGCATGCCGTTCAGTTTTGATGGCAGAGTGCCACGTGTGAGGGGAATGGCATGCAAATGCGCATAGGCGTGTGCACGCGTGTACATGCATGTACATGTGTGATCATGACACCCACAAAGAAAGATGTTACAAGACGGGCAGCGCACGTCAAATACGGCCGCAAGTCAGTCACATACAAGGCCGCTGCCAGGGCGGTGCCGGTGAGCATGGCCTCGCCAAATCGAGGGCCCCACGTCTCCTGCACATCGTCAAGGGTTGCAGTGTGGGTTGGATCCAGGAGCTGTTCGTACACATGTGCTCGTGCCTGTCGCTTCGCCCGAACGTCATCCTGATGGAAAATAAACGCAGTGCACACATAGGAAAAGGAGGAAGAGGGTGAGGGGTGCTTGTGACGCTGGTGAAGCGGGAGAGGCTGCCACACACCCACAGCTCTCGCAAAACGCAGGGACACAACAGAAGCATATAATGAGGAACCACAACAGAGAAACACACACGCTCACGCACGCACATACACTTGCACATACACACACACACAGCCGCACGCACACACACACACACACTTGCACACACACACACACAGAGCCGCACGACATGCACACATTCACGCACCTTGAAGGAGCCAATGTGGTGCGCATCAACCAGTGCCGTCACGAGGCCAAAACAGCCGTCGCTCTCTGACCCGCTGATGCTCTCTGCTGGCGGCACAACAGCGCTCATTGCCATTGTTGCCGCGTCGCCCCGCCAGGGACACGGGTGGATAAAGGGATGGATGCGTGTCTCGCTGGCACCAATAAACAACCCAGAAGCACTCAAGCAAGCAAGCAAACAAGCAAGAAGCGAGCAGCGGCCAGTTGTTGTGTTTGTTGTGCTGTGTTGTTGTGTTGCCTTCCTTCTTCACTCGCGGGGTTTGTAACGGATAATGGCGATTCGCAAAAGATTTTCGCCTTTTTTCCAAGCCTCACCCTGTGTATGAAGATGAGCACGGATGGTGGTGGTGTGAGTGGTGGTGGCGGTGGTGTTGTAGGCCCCGCTGTCATCCCATCGACTGCTACGTTGTCGAGTGCTGGTTCGTCGAGCGCTGTGCCCACGTCGACGACCACGACGACGAGGTCGTCTTCAATGGCTGGCGTTCCCGCGTTCAGTCGAAGACAGCTGCCCAAGGAGTGGCGCAAGGTGAGGAGCAAGACAGATGGCCGTGTGTTTTTCGTCAACACGGTGACGCGCAAGACGACATGGTTTGACCCGCGCAAGAAGGTCATGCCCGATGATGTGCTGCCTGACGGGTGGGAGCAGGCGTTTGATCGCAACGGCCACATCTACTTTATCGACCACCGCAACAAGTTGACGCAACGCAACCCGCCCGAGGATCTTCCCGCCACGTGGCAACAGCGGCTGCAGCGAGCCAGAGACGCGCGCGCCGCCATGTCGGAGCACCCAGAGCTCCAGCACACCAGCCACGACCGCGAACGCAACCACAGCCACGACCGCGAACGCAACCACAGCTGCAATCACGATCATTCACACACCACAGAAACCAGCAACACCAACAGCGACAGCGGCAGCGGCAGCGGTGGCAGCAAGAACATCAGCCACAACGCCAGCAACACGCACAACACCGGCAGAGCGCCAACAAAAGGGCACGAAAGCCGACGCCAACAGGAGCTGCAACTGGAAAGGCGTGATGACCGCGAAAAGGCCAAGCACGCGCACCAGCCCACCGGTTCCTTGCCCAATAGTGACACCTTGTATGAGTACAGGTCGCCGCCCCAGCACCAGGATCATGAGCCGCACCATCACAAGCATCGGTCTCGCAAACACGAGCTGGAGCGACATGGGAAGAAGAGCCTCGCGCGAGGAACCGAGGCGAGAGGATCCCCGCCCCACCGGAAGCATCAGCAGCGACTACGTGGCGGTGTGCCTGCGTCGCCAACCACACTGCGCAAGCACTGGACTGCACCCCTCTCCCCATCAACGCACCCTCGCCACGCGGTACTTCAACCCGCAGCCCCACCAGCGTCGAACCCACAACGCCGGCACCGCAGTCACCGGCATCACCGCACAAAGGGGCGGCAACGCACTTCTGCACGTGGTGATAGCGCTGATCGTGGTGTTGACATTGCCAATATCGATGGCCGCGATCAGGACCGGGATGTGTTTGGCACCACCCCACCGCCCTCACCCATTGCGATGCTCCGCAGCAGCAGCAGCAGCGCCGGCGAGCTGGCCACCACGGCGACGCGTGCGGCCGAGTGGCGCGAACACCAGCGGCTGCAGCACTTGCAGCGGCAGCGGCAGAGGCGGCGCCAGCAGCAGCGCAGCCACTACACGCCAGACGATCGCCACCACGTGCTTGCAAGCAGGTGCCCGGCTGACGGAAGCGCACCCCGTGCACACGTTGCAGCGCACCACAACCAGCCACCACAACACCACCAAACACAGCAGCAGCAGCAGCAACAAGTAGTAACAACGCCTGTCAAGCGCGGGCAGGAGGGCTTGCTGCCGTTGCCCGCAGGCAGTCCCCAGCGAAGGCACAGCTCAACCTCCCTGCTCTCCTGGGACTCGCTCACCTCGCTCGTGTCCACAGTCTCGCGCACCCTGTCAACAGCCTCCACAACAGCATCCCTCAACTCGTCTGTACGCGCCATATTCGGGGGTGGCGATGGCGGCGGTGGTGATGAATATAATGACGATGGTGTTGGTGGTGGCGATGATGGTGATGATGGTGGTGATGGTGATGGTGATGATGGTGATGTAGAGACAGGCGGGAGCCGAGAGAGACATCTGCGATGGCGTGGTGTGACGGCTGCGACGGAGGGCGGAGAAGGGGAAGACGTGTCCGGCGATGATTCTGATGGAGGTGAGGATGGCAATTGCAGCTTCGACGGCTGCGCACGCCTGGGCGGTGTGTGTCGACGCTGTGGTGCTGCGGTGGCCAGAAGAGGCGCGTGTCGTGCATGTGGCGGTGACACCGGTGGTGGTGGCGGTCATGGTGGGGGATGTGTCGTTGACACAATGAATGGAGAGCGCACGAAGCAGCAGCAGCAGCAGCGGCGGCGGCGGCGGCGGCACGGTGTGAATGTGATTGAAGGGACCGTGATACGCGGGGTGGCGTTCATGTTTGGCGATGGTAGCAGTGATCGGAGTGCTGACAATAGTGGTGATGGTGATGGTGATGGTGATGGCGATGGTGATGGTGGGGAGGTGCTGCGGTTTCAGTCGGGGCGCGGCGGTAGTTGAGTGCTTGAGTCGTTTATCCGTTGATTCGTTGTTCCGTTGATGGTCAGAGGATAGGGGCGCTCGTTGTGCCGGCTGGGCTTTGGATGATATAAGAATGGGTATTTATTGCTTGAGTGGTTGGCGTTGAGCATGGCTTGAGGGTCATTTCGGTGCTTGGCAGTGTCGTTGCATGTGTGCGATTAAAAAAAAAACTCGTTCACATGATCAACCGTCAAGGCTTGCCTGCAAGCAAGCGAGCGACGGTGACAGTCCCAGGGGGGGGGGAGCGAAACGTCATTTACTTTCAGGAGAAGTTGTCATCAAAAACCCAGAATGTCGAAAACCAACACGCTCTCCTGCCACTGTGCCAAAAAAAGCACCGGGTCAGGCGGCATATCAGCTGTCGCATTCTGACTGAGGCACACACACACACACACACACACACACACACACACACACACACACACACACACACACACACACACACACAAGGTGAGATAGGCATTGGCACGACACCAAAACAGCATCGTGCACATGTGATCCCTCTTTCTATCGCCTTGACTGTCATCTCGGACTGTCCGAACCACGACCGCGACCACAACCACTACCGTTACCGTCGTTGTCATCGCCACTGCTGCCAATAGCGCGGTTGGAACCACCAACACCACCTCGACCACCACCACCACCACCAGCATCGCCACCACCAGCATCGCCACCACCAGCATCGCCACGTGGTGCTTGAAACTCGGACGGCAAGTCGCGTGCGAGGACGAGGTGGCGTTGCCTGGGCAGCCACTCGATCCAGTGCACGCAGAACGACACAAGCTCGCCCGTGTCCTTGTTGACGCGTACGCTCAGAAGCTGTCCGATGGTGTGGTCGCGCTGCTGCACTGCTGCCGGTAAGGGAAAGCCATTGAAGTCCCCGAGGCTGTACGCAACCAGCTTGTGGTTTTGTTGTTGTTGTTGTTGTTGTTGTTGTTGTTGTTGTTGTTGTTGTTGTTGTTGTTGTTGTTGTTGTTGTTGTTGTTGTTGTTGTTGTTGTTGTTGTTGTTGTTGTTGTTGTTGTTGTTGTTGTTGTTGTTGTTGTTGTTTGGGACGTTCGTGCTGATGCTGGTGTGAGTCTCTGACGGTTCCATGCTGTATGTTGCCTTGCGTGTCACGCTGGCTCACAGTGCTGCTGGCTTCATCGCAGTCTTCTTCAGCTTGCTGCTGCGCATCCCTTCGCCTCCACCTCTTCCACAAGTCCCTAAAAGGTCGTCGCTGGCTCCTGCTGGGCATTGCAGCTCTCCCTTGCTGCTGCACACCATTACTCGTCACCTGATGGCAAGCTGTCACCCCCACCCCGTCCGTGACCCACCCCTTTTTCAGCTCTGCTGCTGTGAGCGCCCTCCACCTCCCACCAACACCACCACCGCCACCACCACCGCCACTGTCAACATCACCGTCAACATCAACACCACCACCACTGTCACCACCACCACGATTACGGCCACTGCTGCTGCCATTTCCACGTCCTGGTGGTTGCTCGTGCAGCAGAGGATCTGCCTCACTGTGCATGGTCCTGTGCGCACGAGCACTACGCGTGTGTGAGCGCCTGCCTTCTATGCCTTCATTGTCTTTGGCCGGTGTGTTGTTGTCGGCCGGCACATACAGCAGCACCTGCTGCGCCGTGTGGCTGTGTGCACCAACCAGCATGTCCATCCCTGCGTGAAGGCACGCCTGTGCGGTTGCCTGCGTGTCGGGTGCCGGGTAGAAGTTGAACTCAATGTCCCAGTGCGGCATGCCAACGAGCGTGTGCAGCCCGCGCTCCTGCTTTAACCGGTGCCAGTCGCGCTGTTGCTGCTGCTGCTGCTGTTGCTGCTGCTGCATCTGCTGGATATCCGCGTCTGTGGTGACGGCCTCGGTGTTGCCTGCGATGTTGAGCCAGTGTGTCCACGCCACGACGCCAACCCCCGGTGCCACGGTAACGATTTGCGGCGAGGCCCCGCTGCCAATTGGCGTTGCCCCCAGCTCTCGCAGGATTTCCAGCGTGCTCCTGTGGCCGGCGTCACCCCAGTCAAAGGCATGATTGTTGGCCAGGGACAGAAACAAGCGCGACGGCTGGACGCGTAGAGCCGCTAGCCAGGCGCGCAGGTGTGACTTTGTGAGCGAGTGGAAGACATATGCCGTAAAGTGCTGGAGGATCTTGCGCCGTTTCACGACAGGGGTCTCCAGGTTCCCCAGCACGGCGTCTGCACTGCTCATCAGCGCCACAATCTCTGGGTCGATGTGGCGCGGTGCCTTGCCCATGGGCATAAAGTCCCCAAAGAACACGAGATGCAAGCAGCCGTTGGATTCCTCAGCGTCCACGTCGCTCCCAGCACTGACGCCACTGTCATCGACAGGTTGGTCGTCGTCGTTGTCGTCGTCTGTTGCTTGGTGTTGGCGTGTGTGGCTGGCTCTGCGACGCGCATGCCACACAGGCGGCTGTGGGAGGTCCTGTGCATGGCGTGAGGAAGGCACAAAGTACCGCACAGGCCAGCGAGGGCCGTACCACCACGGAAACCCAGACATGCAGCGCAGGCGACGCTGTGTGTGGATGTGTGGTGCGTGGATGTGGAAGGTGTGCGGTGTTGCGATAGTCGATGCTGGCGTTGTCCTCTGTTAACTGAATTCAGTTGTGAGGGCTGAATTCAGTTTCCAAACAAGCACAAAAAGGCACAACAAAGCGACAATGAGCGGAAGACGAGGCGGTGGTGGTGGTAGTGGACGGCACCACGACTATGCAGGTCGCGTGAGGCAAGAGATCAACAGCGTCTACAACGTCTACTGTCGCATGTTCAGCGCTGTCAAGGTGTGTGTGTGTGTGTGTGGAGGGAGGGAGGGTTGTTGTTGTTGTTGGTTGGTTGTGTTTGCCACTGTTGTTTTGAAAGTCAAGTCGCACGGTTACCGCAAACACACACTCACTCACTCACACACACACACTCACTCACTCACTCACTCACAAACACACACACACACACACTCACTCACTCACTCACTCACTCACAAACACACACACACTCACTCACTCACTCACTCACTCACTCACTCACTCACTCACTCACTCACTCACACACACTCACTCACGCACACACACGCACTCACTCACGCACACTCACACACTCACTCACTCACTCACTCACTCACTCACTCACACACACACACACACACACAAACGCGCGCACACACACATGCACACTGACAGCAACAACAAACAGCGGGTCGGCTGCACGCAGACGCGGAGAGCCAGATTGAAGGATTTCGCTTGGATCTCGCCGTTGCCACGCTGGTTCGTCGGCTCTGCTCTTCAATGGCGGCTTGACGGTGTCGTTGTGATTGTGTGTCCTTGAAGAACACCCTCGTTTATCGCTTGCGATACCCTTGTAACAATGCCACCGTATTTCTCCTCTCACACTCTTTATTATCATCATCGATATCGTCGTCGCTCTCATGA